AACAAAAATAGTTATTATTACTACTATTATAAAGGATTTATATAGCGTCAACATTTTGCACAGTGCTTTACAATATAAGGAAGACATTACAATCACAATACCAATCAAGACAAGATGGTAAGGAGGGCCCTGCCATGAGGGCTTACAATCCATGCTGTTTCATTATTTATTTTTTTGTGGGCAAAAATATATATAGCGTGTTTTTATAAATAAATGTAGTTATGCAATCTAGTAATAAAAATAATCCTAATTATTTTTTACCAATTATATCACTATCTTTTAATATGCGACAGTACGTGGTTACTTAGTTTGGAAGCAAAAAAGTCCTGCTGCATGTTAATTTTAGCTCTTAAATGTAAGATTGTCCTCCTGCCTGACACCTCCCCTATGTGTATCCTAAAGAAATATGCTTAAAAGATCTAAATAATAGTGTGTGTCTACAAAACTGTTTTAACCGGTTGCCGTCCGCCCATTGTCAAAACATCAAAACGGATGGTGGACGCTTCCTGGCGGGTGGGCATACATGCACATGATTTTATTTCTGCTAGGGGGCGCGGTCAAGATGCCGCTGGAAATGTAAACAGCCGTCACTGGCTGTTACATACAAGCGTTCGGCCGGCTCTAAAGCTGGCCTATCTCTTGTATGACGACAGACAGTGCGCACGCTCCCCCGTCTGCTGCCAATTATCCCGGGCTCCAGTGTCCCCCCTGCGGGCCCGGCTGAGCGGCTGCTCAACTGTACATGGAGGAGAGATCAGCATTCTCCTACATGCTGATCTCTCCTCCGATCTCTAAAGGCAGAAGGGATGTGTATTACATCACTTCCGACTTAAGCTGTCGTTTCTCTGGCTGCTATAGCCAGAGAAGAAGCAGATCTCTGCTTCATCAGCTTGTTCGGGGGTCCCAAGGTGACATCGGGGAAGTGACAGATCAATGTCCAAGGCTATTGGGGCATGATCCGATAGAGGAGCCAATAGCAGCCCGCCCGACTCTCGGGAGATCACACAGTGGCGACCTAAAAACATATCTACGTGCGTATAGGACTGGTGGGGGTTGGAATAGAAGGTGTAGTCCTTATCCGAGGGAAGCAGAACCCTCCAGACATCCAAGAGTTGATAATGGGTAGGCACTTGCGGAGCCGCTTGAGACAAGCATAAGAGAGGTGGGAGGAGGCCCTAGAGCAGGGATGTCCAAACTGCGGCCCTCCAGCTGTGGTGGAACTACGAATCCCATGAGGCTTTGCAAGATTCTCACAGCCACAGACATGACTCCGGGAGAGAGATGCTTCATGGGATTTGTAGTTTCACCACAGCTGGAGGGCCGGAGTTTGGACATCCGTGCCCTTGAGGAATCGAGCAGAGGATCAAGAGAGAAGTTAAAATCCTCTCCAACGACTAAGACTCCTTCCGTAAAGGAGTGAAGTCGCTCTAGAATGTCCTCAAGAAGCTATACCTGTTGGGTATTCGGTAAGTAGAAATTTGCAAAAGTGCACATTTCAGGGCCCAGTTTCCGCTTCACGAAAAGAGCACGGCCACTGAAGCAACACCAAGCCTCTGACAGCTGCCATCCCGAATTCCTATGGAACAGAAGGCTAACCCCCTTGGTCTTAGTGTCCGGTGAACCACAATGATAGGCATGAGGGTACACATGATTCTGGAACCTCGGCATTTGAGGCGTACGGAAGTGTGTCTCTTGGATAAAACAAACCTGGGCACACAGTCTGCGCAACTCATGGAGGACCGAAGTCCTTTTCTCAGGGGTATTTAAAGCTTTCACATTGAACGAGATCATCTTACTGGGAGCAAAGGTGGTCATATTGTACCAGGAGAGGTGAACAACCACGGGACCTGTCGGTGGGAATGACCAGAATAAGAGAAAGAAAGGACTAGGAGACGAAGGGGAGCAAGAAAGAGCCGAAGCTAAAAGCAAGCGGGAAGATATAGTTACATAGTATTTGAGGTTGAATAAAGACACATGTCCATCAAGTTCAACCTATTGTGTGTATGTGCATGGTCCTACTGATGTGTGCGTATGTATAGGTCCCTGTTTATTCTCATTCTTAAAAGTACTTGTACCCCTGTATATTACGGTCTCTGAGGAAATCGTACAATCGCCTCTTAAATGATGCCACATTCTCAGCCGAAATCACAGCATGTGGCAGCGAGTTCCAGACCCTGACTGATCTAACTGAGAAGAAACCCCTACGCCCCTTGTGCTGAAATTTTTTCTCCACTAATTTTAGGTGGTGGCCTCTCGTCCTTCTGTCCTTCTCATGGAGTTAATTGTAAAAACAATGACCCTACAAATCTATTTCCCTTTCGGACTTCCGCAGCGCAGCTCCCGTTAGTGTTTTAATTCGCTTTCTTATTTTTAACCCCAAAGTGCACAACCTTTTATCTACATTAAACCTCATCTGCCATGTAGTTTGCCCACTCCCCTATTTTATCCAGATCCCCCTGTAATGTTATAGGGTCTGATTCCATTTCGATTACCCTCCCGATTTTAGTATCATCAGCAAACACTGAAACATGGCTGTTTACACCCTCCCCAAAATCATTAATGAAAAGGTTAAATAGCATGGGGCCCAGTACTTACGCCTGTGGCACGCCGCTCATAACCCTAGCCCAATCCGAGAAGGTGCCATTTATCGATACTCTTTGTACCAGAGGTGTTTACACAGTAAGACTGCCTGTTGCTCCAGTGTGAAAATAAAAATCTGAGTGAGAAGCCCAAATCTCCTGTGTGTACATCCATTTTAAATGTAGCCTGAAACTCCTGTGTGTATGTCTAGTTTACTGTAACGTCAGACATCGGTGCACTGCTACTGCTGTTTAGAACCCATTTAGAACACTAACGTTTAAAACGTTAGTACCGGTGTTCTGTCGAGAACGCCAACCCAGTATCTGCGCTTACGTACAGACGGGCTTACCGGGGAAACCATTTACAAAGTATTCGTTTGTGATGGTTAATTGTGACCGTTAATAATATGCCGTCCATGAATGACAGGTGGAAAATAATTATCAGTCACAATTAAAGATTTAAACGAAATACTTTGTGAATAAATCCTCGATAATCCTCGGTTTCCTCGATAATATTGGTCTGTGCGCAAGCGCATATGCTGAGGTCAGCAAATTCGACTACGTCGGCGTTCTCGACAGACCACCGGTATCTGCGCTTAGTATCTGGGCATTTTCACGAGTATGAGTACTTGTGAAAATGCCCAGTATTGACAGTGGTGCATCCCTACTTAAAAATATAATGCATTGCTGGGACTTGTAGTCCTACATAGTTGGAGCTATTCTGCATTGCTGTATAATAATCATACAGCAATGCAGAATACCACCAGCTATGCGGGACTACAAGTCCCAGCAATACATTATAATAAGTCAGCTATGCAGAATGCCACCAGCATCCCCCCCCACACTATAATGCATTGCTGGGACTTGTAGTCCTACATAGTTGGAGCTATTCTGCATTGCTGTATAATCATCATACAGCAATGCCGAATACCACCAGCAATGCATAAAAGTGAGCACTATATCACCAGCATCCCACACACACCCACAAACCCACCCCCCCACTCCAGACTTACCTTCCTTCTCCAGCAGGGGCCTCTTTCAGGAGGGAATGCGGAAGGTCTCACGAGGGGAGCGGAAGGTCCCAGGGGGGAAGCGCAAGGTCTCAGGAGGGGTAGCAGAATGTCCCAGGAGGGGTACAGAGGTTGTCAGGGGGGGTACGGAATGTCTCGGGAGGGGTGCGGAGGGTGTCGGGAGGGGTGCGGAAGGTCTCTGGAGGGGTGTGCAGGTTGTCAGGAGGGGTGCGGAATGTCCCAGGAGGGGTGCGGAATGCCCAGGGAGGGGTGCGGAGGGTCTCAGGAAGGGTACAGAGGGTGTAATGGGGGATGCGGAATGTCTCAGGAGGGGTGTGGAAGGTCTCAGGAGGGGTGCGGTGGGTGTCATGAGGGGCGCAGAGGGTCTCAGGAGGATTTTACCGGGCCTGCACTTTCAGAAAATATATAGTTTGGGGGGGTCTTTTACAAACACTAGCAACCCAGCAGTTAAAAATAAAATTAATGGGAAAAAATGTCAGCATCTGGAGCCTCTCATCCCTGCCTGGAGCTGCTCTAGGTAGGGATCTGTGACTCCCATGGATCCCCGCTGCTGTCCCCCGCTGGTAGGGCCTGTGGCAACGGGGGTTAAAAAAAAATCTCCAGCGGAGTAGCAAGCGTCAGCTGGCGGGGAGAAGCCACAAGTTTCAGGATGGCTGAGCGGTGAGAATGGAGCCGCTGTCATCCTGTCAGTTTCCGGATGACAGCGGCTCTGTGCGTGGCCGAACGAAGGATCAATAAATATCATTGATATTTACTGATCCTCTGTGCAGCCCAAACACCGGAGTGATCGTGTGATCACTCCAGTGTTTGTAAATAACTGGGGACACATAGGGGGCTTTTCACAAAGCTGCCGAAGGCCGCCGTGTGAATAACCGACCCGAAGTAAAGTGAGCCGAAACGCTATTCACTTCGGATATATTATCGCAGGGCCTACAAATTTAGTATCACCATCTTTTTATTCTACCGGGCCTGCGCTTTCAGAAAATATATGGTTTGGGGGGTCTTTTACAAACGCTAGCAACCCAGCAGTTGAAAATCAAATCGATGGGAAAAATTGCAAAAATGGCGTGGCCAGCTGATTTGAAAAATGTTCCGGAGGGCTTGGCAGCAAAAGGGTTAATCAGCCTTCATCGGGAGAGCGCTGAGAAGGCACCGCAAATCTGCCTCGAAATTAGGGTTAGGTGTGGTGGGCTGAGGAGACCAAAGGGGTTGCGAACCCAGTGGATGCAAGGGAGGATCTGAGTATCAGGATCCCAGTGAACTGTTCTTAGTGGCAGGAGGTACCGTCAGGGTCACATCCCCAGTGGGCTCCGGAGGAGCTGCTGCAGACCCAGAGTGAAGGGGGCTAACTGGCAGAGGTGGCCCCGCGTTCCCTGCTTCTACCTGGCAGATGCTGTATGGGGAAGTCCTCCCTGACTGGCTGGAAGTAAAGGCCGTAGGTGGAGGAGAAGCCTGGGAGCTGGGCTGTCTGACCGGCGAACGCCACCTCCGCCACCGCCAGGAGTGCAGTAAGTCCGGGACGAGACCTTGCTGTATGCGGTCTCCGCCCGACTCATCTGCTAGGAGTCAGCTGATGAGGCCGGCGGGCCATTAACGCGCAAGTGCTGTGTTCCCAGCATGCCATCCGGCGGCTAGGAGAGCGACAGGGGAGGCCGGTCCCGGGTCCCAGGTCCCTGGTTGAGGTGGGCCCGCAGAGTTCCGGGCACCACGAACAGGCGCTGAAATGTTGTTTTTGAGGGTGCACTGCGAACCCCATTGCTTCCCCTTCTTGGAAATCCATGCGGAGAGCTCAATGATGCAGGGAAATCCCTGTTGGTAGGTAAGTCTGGACCGGAACTGCTGCAACATGCTCCTCAGTCCTCCATGGCTTAGCCACTCCCCCGACAAAGTTTTTAAGTGGAAAAAAAAAATTAGTCACTGACAAAGAATAAAGACACCCCAAAAAATGTCCCTTTGCCCCCCCCCGCGTGCATGCACATATAAACGTAAATAAATGTCGGGTGCAAAAATAACGATTGCATATCTCCATGAATGCAGTAATTCCCGGGCCATCAATCGCTGTTTACACTAAACTGATGAGCAGTAAAAGCTTTTAAAGCAGTGGTCTCAAAGTACTGGCCCACGGGCCAATTGCGGCCCGTGAGCCAGAACGATGTGGCCCGCAGGCAGCTCACAAGTCAGGTACGCAGTCACGGACCGCGCACCTGAATTGCAGGAGCAGCTACACGGTCTGCATTTCTGTCGCATGCAGACCGCAGGGCTGCTCCTGTCACTGCTGGTACTCAGATCCTTTCAGCTGGAACTCAGTTCTGAGCTCCGGCCGAAAGAAAGAAAGGATGGATTAGTGAGCAGACCTCGCTAATTACCCACTAGAGCACCAGGGATCGATCGTGCTTCCTTTTAAAGCCTCCTCCCTGTAAAAAGGTAAGCAGGAGAGGGGGCTCTGTATTTTATTTTATGTGCAGGGAGGAGGTTGTATTATTATTTTATATGTGGGGGGGGGATGTATTATTTTATATGTGGGGGAGTGTATTTTCTTTTTGTATGGGGGGATATATTATTTTATATGTGGTGGGTAGTATTTTATTTATGTGTATAGCAGCAACTGACTCCCATTCAAGTTAATGATCAGGTGACAACGGCTGCATGCACACGCCTGCACACACCGCATGTAATGGTGTGTGATTTTATTGCATTTGGTTAGCAATCAATCACTCTTCCTGAACGCATCGATTGTGCATCCAGGGAGTGTTTTCTAACCGCATGTAATCATATCACATACTATTACATGTGGTGTGCAGGCATTTACATGGAGCTGCTGTCACCTGATCATTAACTTGAATGGGAGTCAATTGCCGCTTGTAAACGGCAGATTAGGGATTCCTGCTGCAGGAAAATGCAAGTTCCTGTTGCAGGAATCCTTAATTGCACCTAAACGTACAGGTGTGAATGAAGCCTAATAGGGCCCCAGTGGGATAAATAAATTTGTTGAGTGGCCCCCGAGTGAATTAAGTTTGAGACCCCTGTTTTAAAGCATCGCCTATGGCCAAATTTAGGTATGGTCTTTTTTTGCGTTTTTCTTTTTAAAAGGTAGGCATCTGCAATCAAATTGCATTTACACGTTTGCAGCCAATTTGGGATAATGCCTACTTTATATTTGTTACGTGTTCTCATTCACATAGCATAACTTTAAAAAAAAATAATGTTGCTTACATTTTCAATTGCTTTTTTTTATTTTTTTTTATTCATATAATTTGTATTATATTTTTTAATAATAAAATAAATTCATTACAAATACCATACAAATAAACACACAAAATACAAAAAAAAGAAATAAACAACCACTCTTGTGCACGCCGTGCGGTGCGCGAGCGGGAAACAACGTCAATTTAAAAACAGGCAGTGATGCTCGTTAACATACAAGCATATAGCCGGCGGATCGCTTGTATAAGCCGCCAGCCCGTGATTCCCGCTCCCTCCGCTGCCCCCCCTCCCGTTGTCACGCTAGTCCCGGGCTCCGCTGTGCCCGGTGTGAGCACGGGACCAGCATAGTGCATCTCTGACAGGGGATCAGAGGGAGGTTGGTACACGATCCCTGTCCGGTGTCAGAATACGGAAGTAATGTATATTACATCACTTCCGCATTCTCGTGTCACTCTCCATCTTCAAACGCTGGAGAGAAGCTGATGAAGCAGATCTCTGCTTCATCAGCTTCTTCAGGGGGGTCCTAGGTGACAGGGGTCTTGGAGACCCCTGATGTCTCCATAAAGAGGACCTGTCACTTCTTTTGCTATCACATAAGGGGGTTTCTTAGCCCCCTATCTGATAGCAATAAAGTCCCTACCCATACATACACGCATGAGTCAGGTGTGCATACCTGCGAAAACGACGATTGAGCCCATTACGCCGCACATGTTACATATCGCCGCGAACGTCGCAGTGAGGGCAATAATTTTGGGGCCATCAATCACTGATGACACTAAACTGATGAGCTGTAAAAGCTTTTAAAGCGTCGCCTATGGTCAATTTGGGGTATAGTAGTTTTTCGCAACTTCGCAGGTGCGCGCAATTTTTAAGCTTGACATGTTTAGCGTCTATTTACCCGATGTGACCCCGTCTTTTATATTTTACCAAAATAATTGGGTAATAATTGTTTCCTAACATAATGTAAAGAAAACTTTTTTTTTTCCTCCAAATTTTCAGTAATTTTTCCTAAATATAGTAAAAACTAAAACCCGCAGTGGTGATTAAATACCACCAAAGGAAAGCTCTATCTGTCCCCAAAAAATTGTATAAAATTAATTTCAGTACAGTGTTGCATGACGGAATAAACGTCAGTCAAAGTACTGCAGCGCTAAATACTGAAAAATGGCCTGGCCAGGAAGGGGGTCTAAACACCTGGTCTTCAAGTGGTTAATCTGTATCCAATTTATACTTTTTACTTCCATATATAATAATGATTACTAACAAATATCTCTATACCTCAATAATTCTTAGCCTTTCTGAAAAAATTTAAATAATTCTTCACAACATCAAATCAGAAAATACATTATAAAGTGCCATTATTCATATATAATTAAAAATACATTTTCAATAATTCTATCTCATATATTAGTTTCACCTTTTAAGTTGCATTAGTGAAATAAATGAACTTTTCACGATATTCTAATTATTCGAGTTCCACCTGTATACTAATACTTTTTCCTAATGTGAGTGATATCCCAACTAAACCCCCTCTTTACTCCTGTCCTCAACCCTCCCCTCACCCCCCCGCTCCCTTCCCTCCCAAGAAAAAACAAAACAAATTTTTTGACACTATACAATCCAATTCCCCATACAACTCTTACTACTGGAATTGCAGGAGACATCCATTTCATTACCAACACCCATCTGGCCGCAAACAATAATATGGCCTTATTACCATCCATATTATCCGATTCTAACCCTTCCCAAACCGGAACGGATCCGCCCCTCCAAACAAACCCCTCAACAAGTCAAATATTGGAGAACTAAATCTCCCCCCTTGCCCATCCCCCAAAATGATACATCTGAGCTGCTAAATAATATAACCATGGGTTAGGAAAAGAAAGGCCTCCCTGCTCTCAGAGATGTTGCATACCTTCCTTCTTGTTATAACCTGGCTTAATTCCTTAAGTACCTTTTGGGGTGAAGGTTATCTGGTCCAACTGCTTTATTTGCATTGAGCATTTTTAAGTCTATGTTCTATTCCGCTTTCCGTCAACCATTGTGGTATATTATCGGTTGAACTATGTATTTTTATCACGTACGTCGAACCCGTTTCCCTCCTGAGTGTATACTGAGGAGAAAAAATTGTTCAGCGCCTCGGCCCTCTCCTTGTCGCTTGTGAGTAACTTCCCGTTTTCGTCCTTTATTGGGCCTATCTGCTCCTTTCTTACCTTTTTACTGTTAATATATTGGTAGAATTTTTTAGGTTTTTTTTTTTACTATCTGCCGCGATATGCTTTTCGCATTCTATTTTAGCTTTATTCATGGAATTTTATTGCGCCACATTAGCTCCCTAAAAACAGTTTTAATCCTACGAAAAATACTTTTTGGTAACAAACAGGGGGAATTGTGAAGCACATACAACAACTGGGGCGTCCATATCATCTTCCACAAACTTATCCTACCCATCACCGACAAAGGATGTTTTGGACCATACATATTAAGAACAGGTATTAACTTTTTCTGCAAATATTCTAATAGATCTCCTGATTTTATATGTACCCCCAAATAAGCAAAAGAGTCCACCACCATTATATGGAATGCTATCTTAGGGAGAGGCAACCTCAAAGGGTCCAATGGCAGTAGGGTAGACTTATCCGAATTCACTCTAAGACCTGAAAACCTACCAAACTCGGATACTAAAGACATCACCCCCGATAAGGAGGAAACTATCTGCTAGAAATCATAATGAATCATTCGCGTACAGCACCACTTTATCCTCCCTACTTCCCCTCCTAAAGCCCACCACTTCTAGGGATGCTCTTATTACCGCCAGCGGTTCAATTGCCAAAGCGAACGATAGAGTGGATAACTGACATCCCTGTCTCCTACCCCTCTGCAAAACAAGAAATGATGACAAAGCCCCATTCACCCTAATCTTAGTCACCGGCTTACAGTACAATAAATGTATCCATTTAATAACATTTGATCCAAACCCATAAAGTGAAAGGACCTCCCACCCGTATTATATATATAGGGACTTGAATATTTAGAAAAACTCTCCTTTTATATTCTCAGCAGTTGATCTATTGGGCATAAATCCTGCTTGATCTTGATGATGTATAAGACCCTGGATAACCCCAGCCAATCTTGTAGCCAAGACCTTTGCCAAAATTTTTACATCAACATTCAAAAGGGAGATAGGGTGATACGATTCCGGTAACAACGGGTCTTTCCCCTTTTTAGGAAGTAACACCACTGAGGCCTCATACATTTAGGTAGGTAAACTGCCCACAGTTACAGCATCATTGAAAGTATGCAG